TTCCATTTATTCCTGCCTCTTTTAAATTCCCGTTTTCTTGGTTTCTAGGCTTGGTGCCTAGGTTCTTGACCTGATGAATTTTGGAAAGGGGATAATGGATTTGTTTCAAGCCTGCTTTATGCAAACTCGTAAAAACTTTTCTCATGCGAAAACTTTTTAATAGTCTTATGTATGAAACTTTCTGAAATTTTCAGCAATGTGATATGAAATATAACTACATATTTTGATGTACGGTGGTAAAATTTAAAGTTAGTGGGAACATGTAAAAATAAATAAAAGATACAAGAAAGTGTAGGAATAATGAGATTAGTGTACGATATGAATAATGGTCTTATCATTATAGATATTGTACAAATTACAGATTTTTATAATCTATATAATCTGTCTCTATATCTTTATATCTGTAATCTATATAATATAATCTATAATCTATATTTTTATAAATATAGATATTTTTATTAAATATATATAATAATTGCATATAATGAATAATTAACTGTTTAATATTTTCTAACATCATAGTAAAATGTGATTTTAAGTAGTGAAATATTAAACTATAATAGTTGTGTCTTATTACAGTATTAATGAAATTTCAAAATGTTTCGTACAATACATATTGTAAAATCTCTTCTTTTTACTCGCTAATAGCTATAAAAGTTAACAAAAATAGGTCTTTAAATTTTTTATATCTTAATTTTACTTTCATTTCATCTAAAACGTATTTTTAATATTTTCAAGGGAGTGTATGTATTTAGTATAGAATTGAAAACAACGATATTCTTTTATTTCTCTTAAATTTGGTATTTGTTCTTTCAGCCATTTTTGATCAAATTATGTTTCCTCTAACATTAAAAAATGTTTTAAGTTTGAGTAAAATAAAAGAAATTTACCATTGATATGCTCAATTTTTTATTTCAATTTTATATTAAATATTTTCTTAAAATATTAAAAATCTTTATCGTTTGCTAAAGTGAAGGTGAAATTGAAATATAAAAATTTCGAAATCCTAGCAATTTTCTTAGAATTGATGTAACAGATAGAAAAATACAAATGAAAAGGAAGATACTTATTTATTATATTGTAATTTTTTAAATTCTGGCAATAATATGGTATTTAAATTAATACTTAGAAGTAGCATGTTAATACTTCCAATGAATTCATTAATAATGTACAAGATTATATTATATTACAAGATGTATTTTGTATGAGAATTATCTATTAGCATATAATGCAAATTTATTTAAAAAAAAAAAAATGCATACATATATAAAATGCTAAACTAATAATCAAAATTCATTAAGTGTATGTATTACACTCGAGAGTCTTGATTGTTTCTAAAACATTTATTAAATAAATACTTAATAATTGAATTGATAGAATAGTAATGAGAATATGAAAGCAACGTATGTTTTTATATATATTTTGAAGTGTCCTTAAAATTTCACTTCAATATTTCTGAAATGAGAACAGATACGATGCCTACTTCAGAGTATTACTTGGCCACACTAATTATTTAATAATTTTACACGCATAGCTCTCCCCTTGTATTTTGAGTCTAAAATTCTCTTTCGTTTGAATTTCTCAATTTATCAATACCAAGAAGCAACTAGAGTTTATTAGCAACGTATTTCGAGCTGTGTGTGATTTTCGTATCGTTTCCGAGAATACAAACGTATAAAAACACCGTGTCATAATGAAGGCATTTAGCAGAGTCATTGAATAACTATGCAAGTGGATCGCGGTTAGTAACGAGGCTATTTTACCGCGATGGCTGTGATCTTCTTCAAGGCATAGACTCCGCTGGCAAGGATCCCAGCGAGTGAATAAAAACAGAAAGGAGAGAAAGTCATCGAGTCGGCTGCGTCCTGCTGGTTGACCTCGGCCCTGGCCCGTCGAGATCGACGGGAAACGAATTTACAACTCTGACATTCGCACTTCGCTTCGTACGCTGT